AGGTGGAGGGAGGCCTTAGGAGCGGGTGATGGAAGGGGTGGGGCGGTGTAAGAAGCCGACGGTAGGGAATAGTAGAGTTTTATCGTTATGGGATGTTGTAGTGTTTTGGATAACTATTAGGAATACAATAAGCGACCTTAGGCTTCTACCGTATGCTGTGTCCGACGTGCCGCGTAGCCCTGGGGTGGAGAGAGAGAGATAGAGAGGAGGGAATACCCGCGCCCTTGTCCTTTTAGTCTAGGATACTGGTATACTCCACATCGCTACTACAGACCGGATAGCATTCGTGGTTTAATGGTATTATTAGGCGTTGCTATGCAAATTATATTCTTTGGAGAATAAGACTTGAACTGTCACGGTGTTGCGCAAGAGGTCAATCGTTATATTGATTACCCAGGTAGCTCACTTCATGAAAAGAAAAATTTAAAGAAAGTATAAGGAGGAAAGGGTGGGCAGCAAGTACTAGGTAGATGTCCTCTGGACATTAGTAATTAAGCAACCCAACAGTGTTGCTGACTACGCACGTGTTCACCATTCACTACGAAGTGGTTCAACCTACCCAAGGCAACCCACCCAACCTATACAAGCATGTGAGCCGTCACATGAACTACCCTACCTTCTTACAGAATGAAAATATACTTTTCGGAGTTAGAAATCATCGTCTGGGTTCAGACTCTACCGATATTTCTGCCACCACCAACGACCAATAAAACAAACAAACCCAACCGACGGGCGGTGATTCGTGTCGTTGGTCTTAGGTATCTATGCACCAGAACTGATTAACCATTTTGGGAGACTTTATGCTTCCTCCGTAATGGCTCACATGCTGCACTGGGTGGGGGGCTTGACCAAGGGTTAGTGGAATCATTCACAGTCATGTGAGTGGCGCAGCAACCCCATTTGGTCGCCTAATCACTAGTACCCGTCCCTACATATCACTCAGGGCGATGGACCAGGGTAAATGAAATCAACTCAACTCACTAGTGCTCATATAGGGCCAAAGGGCCTCGCCAATACAAGACTCATCGTCCACCCAATCTTTCCTCTGCTTTTTCTTCTCTTTGATCTTCTTCTCCTTATAAAGTAGCCCACTAGAATCAATAAAACGATTCACTTGCTTTTTGTGCAACGCCATGACATCTTCCAGCAAAGCTACATGTGCATAGCTTACGTTAAGTGTAGTAGTGAGTTCCCCTTCTTTTTGCCCAGTTTAGCCAATTTTCGCTTGTCATTTCTTCTTCTTGTATCTCGATTTCAAGTTCCCTCTTCCTCTTCCTATTCCCGTTTGTTGATGCTTGTTACTCAATGATCACCTGTTCGCTAACGACTAATAACTCTCGGTTCGTTTTAGTTTAAAGACTGAAATGCGGCTACCGGCCACGTCCGCAATTAAATGATTATTGCAAGCAGCTGGCAGCTCTCTCTATGAAATAATGATTATTAAAAAATATAACGGAGTAAGTTAGCACCACATGAACGCTCCAACGTCTTACGATATGTTAACATAAACTTTGCATATCCATACTCTTCCAGTTCCAACACCGATGCTCGTGGTCTTCCTTGACATTACTGTGCATGGTCGATACCCTGAGGATAGCCATGCTAAGTTCTTTGAATTGTGTCTTATTCATACACCATCTGAGCTGATATATAGGTTTCGTAAGTTATCCCCTGACGACGACTCCAGCCGTGTCGAGTCATGGGAGAATGCCACTGACAAGACACCCTCGCTATGGCCCTTGAGTACCTGGAGGCAGCCGCCGCTGCTGAGGTCCCAAATCTTGACTGTTTGAACATCTCACATCGACGCTAGACGTGCAGAGTCGTAGGAGAAGGCCACTGATTTGACACAATCGCTATGACCTTCGAGCATCTGGAGGCAAGAAGCCCATTTATCTTCTATGTTCGGCGTTGTCACTATCCACTCAGGCCCTTCCTTAGATAGAACTCTTATTCGGCTATACATTGGACTGAATAAGAGTGGTGATATATATGCCTGAAGAGAGTTACTCTCTATTGCCCACTTAAGGGAGACAATAAATCGGTATACGTCACCAATTAGCTTGATTAATTCGGAATGAACTCCTGTTCCCTGATACGTATCAGTATAATATACAACATGGCTAGTTTTACAATTACCCGAATTAAAGCCTCGAGTTTTGCTATTGAAACTACCCCTTTCGGCTTGATCTTTCAAAGGCTAAGAGCCTCAAGCCAGCAGAAGTGTCAATTTATTAGAAAGCTATCAATAGCGCTGCCATCCTGCAGCTCAGCGCTATGATTGATAGAAGTGTTGGGATTCCAGACATAGAGGTGATCGACCCAATAGATACATGAGTAGCGTGATGCTGCTAGTGGGTCTAGTTCTGGCTGTTCCACCTTCTCGGCAGGATATCCTACTTCAAATGGAGTGTACATATGTCGACGTTTTTCTAGTTGCTATAAATCCACTCAGCATCTTCACCGCTGCCGTAGGCATAACGACGGGCAGCTCTTCAGGGCGTCCAGCTCGCCGAAGATGATTGACAATACCAAAGGTGATCTCGACGCTGCCAAACATATTAGTGTCGAAATTCAGGCAGTCCGACCTGTTCTGCAGATCAAATTAAAGCACTACAAGACAGCTCCCCGTAAACCATCGTAAGTTGTGAAGACAGTAAGTTATACAAAGGGATAAATTATACGATGGATATGGATATGGATATGGATATGGATATGGATATGTAAGGACGCAATGAGACATGGAGAGCCACAATGTAAGGCAACCATGTCAATTAAACGCCCTGGTTCTTTCTTGGAACATTTTACTTAGAGGGCCTATACAGAAGTGGGAGAATGACTTCGTATAAGCGTGACAATTGGTTCCGGGAGTACAATGTAGAAAATTTTACCTTGGGATGGGACGAAAGGGCCCATTAGATCCACCATCAGACTGAATGATCATGTTACTTCACCAGAGTAACAAGCAACGACCGTTCCTTGCGACAGACACGTGTCGTCTCATCTTGTCTCTGTTTAAGGGTCTCGATGGCTGCAGCGTCCTTTCGAGACATGCAGTATGCAGGTATCCGACAGACAAGTTGTTAATGCAGAACTGCCCATGATAAATATTAAGAGCATATTTACTCCACCACTAATTGGGACGAAGCCATGCGGCATGATGGTGTTGAAGAATGGAGACTGTGAGAATTGCCTGGAGGAAGATGAGGTTGAAGTTGGACCAGATGAAAAAACTGAAAAATTAGACCAAAAGCACGACTTTAAAGTAAAGTGGGTCCAATCACGTGCTTCCGCGTAACTGTGCGCCTCGCCTGTCAGCCCTACGACACGAGGAGCCCCTAATCCTCCCATCCCATCTCAACTTAAACACAATCTCACCTCTTACGATCATATAAGAACAAGTCTTAAGCATGTCCTGCTCACTCTATCCGGAGTGAGCATAAAAGTAAAATTCATCCATGCCCCGCCTTCCACTCCACACACTCTTCCGCCTGCCCACCAAACTCCGGCGGCGCGCAAGAAGATCCAGAATCGCAACAATGTTTCTACTCTTGTCCATCCTCTGCATCACATTTTCCCCTTTGTATATAGTATACAAACCTCCTTCCCTCTTGATTCGTTATTTCCAGCACCGCTGGCCTGACGTCCTCTTCCACGTGCCCACATCACAGAAAATCATCGCGCTCACCATCGACGACGGGCCATCTGAATACACGCGCGAAATCATGCAAATTTTGCAGGACAATGATGCCAGGGCTACGTGGTTCATTATCGGCGGCCAAGTTCTCGAGGGCGGAAAGGATGCGATGAGGGTTCTGCATGAATTGGTGAGGAGAGGGCATGAATTGGGGAACCACGCCATGCACGACGAGGCATCGCGGGATTTGAGCGATGGCGAGTTGAAGGCGCAGATTGAATGGGTGGAGGAAATGGTTCGAAAGGCGTATCGGGGTGCGGATGTCAATGCGCTGGATGCCAGACCGCCTCCGAAACTCTTCAGACCTGGATCCGGGTTTTTCAGCAGCCGCATGCGGGAATTGATGAAGTCTATGGGGTACCGCATTGTGCTGGGCGGTATTTATCCTCATGATCCGCAAATTCCGTATTGGAGAGTCAATGCGAGACATATTCTGAGTATGGTTAGACCCGGGGGGATTATAATTTGTCATGATCGGAGGAGTTGGACGGTGCCGATGTTGAGGAAGGTTATTCCCGAAATAAAGAGCAGAGGATATCGGATTGTTACTGTGTCTAAGTTGTTGGAGGAGGTGGGGAAGAAGTAGGCCAGGGGATGAGGATATGCTGATGATGAATTCAAAAGGTGTGCAGCGAATGGAGTTTGGAGTTTGCGAGGGGCATGTTATGAGTGTTTGGTTTATGAGTTTTAGCTGCTTCGACGCCGGGTTTTGGGTACGCTTCCTTTCTAAGGTTAGAAGGTCCGCGTTCTCTACAATTCTCTCCGGACGCTGCCATTCATAATGGAAGGCATTGTCTTTCCATTTCCATTCCCTTTTTCATCACTACATGCTGGAGGGCAGGGGAAGTTCTGGTTGTCGTTGTTCTATGATACCATAATCCTGCTAACTTTAGATTGAGACGGTATAAATACAAAAGTATTTTCTACTAACGTTACGGGAACCAGTCGACATCTTTGAATCGGCCTTTATAATTGTTCCTCCTTCTGCTCTATTCATGACACCAATATACCCCCAATAAATGTGTCAATTTCCAAGAGATTCCATCGATAATTTTCGACCCTATCTGTCCATTCTATTCCACCGCCCCTCCTGAACTCAAAAAAAGACGCTGCCCGATCCCATTCACTCAAAAGCCATCATATGAATAATATCACGCTCTATTCCCTCTCAATATCTTAGTAACGGGAGCTGCAACTAGCTCTCATTCCATCTTTGCAAAAATTTTTGTCCCCTTCTAAAGTCAGTTCAGAGAGGAACGAAAAGCCCAAAAAAAAAGGTGAAAAAAGAAACGTCGTACTTGTTCTCTCCCTCGGGGAATCGAACCCCGGTCTCCCGCGCTTGTTATCGAATAACCGACTGACAAGCGGAAATCATGACCACTAGACCAAGGAAGATAGTCTTATTTGATAGAATTTTTTATTATTAAATACATTGTAAACAAAACACACAGGTAAGAGAGCGGCGGATTAATTTTGTTGGCAGCGGACACGCACGAATGTGTTCGTTATGGGAGGGCCTAAGTGGGGTTAAGATCAGAATCTAGACCGGGAAGGGGGATTTATGGATCCGAGCTTCCTGAATTTGGAATGGAATTATTAAGAATACCGATAGAGGGCGGGAGGAAAGATGATATAGAGATAAACACATGGACATAATTCATATGGAAGATCTGTACATTAAGTAAAACTGATCAAGTCAATCGAGAAAGCATCATAAAATGAAGTTCATATAAAGCTGGTCTGGACTGCAGATCCGTATCTCTTTTTTTGTACTTTTGTTATAAGTATTACATGTTAAATATTTACCATCAAAATCTTCCTTCTGGTGAGATGGCCGAGTTGGTTATGGCGCCAGGTTAAGGTTACCTTAACATTACATCCTGGTCACGAAAGTGGCGTGGGTTCGAGTCCCACTCTCATCATCATTCGTCTCAGTCATTAGATTGAGTTTACAGGAGTTTTTTTTTACGTGGGTGAGGCTCGAGGGTGCGGAGGACAGCAGAGATAATGGACCTGGTGAGACGATTACCTTTGCATGATTTAGGGGAGGATAGGTACGAGACTTACCTGCTTTGTATACTGACGTATTTGTCTTTGGGTAAGTCCGTCAAAGTACTAAGATGGAGTTGGAAGCATGGCGAAAGGTGTTTATGTTTTTGCTCCTGTGTAGCTCAAAGTTGGTTCTTGATATTTTCAATGTATTCTCTTTGCTTTGGATATTTTATTTACTAGAGGTTGAAAAAAGAGGGAAGGTGTACGCTTAGGAGGGCTAAATTCGTTTAGTATGCTATACTGATTCCTTCCCATCAGCATCGCTAATAGCATGGAATTGGAGGCAGCTAGCAAATTGAGAAACTCTCATTCAGATGAAAGACCATCTCAGTAAAAGACCAGATATATATTGGTCACACCAAATCTCAAAAGTTCTTCTTAATAAGTACTTTAGCAAGATATAATCTGTTTTCAGGAATATTACATAGGCAATTGAAGGAGAGAATGCCGGCTGTTCTACTCTATGCGCAGGTACTGCTCTGAATTGATTAGAGTTGAAGAAAAATAAATACTTGGTACCAGTTGACGCTACGCTTGATGACCGCTCTGAAACTTTCATAACCGTATATTGACGTACATGTCTAATAGATACTAAATACCAATGATATTCCGAAAAACTGTATTCTACAGTCTGCGACGCATAAGCTACAAGGGAGATAGCCAGTGAGGTGGATAAGGGGGCTGATGAGTGCTATAATACTCTAGAAAGGAGGGGACTTCGTATCGCTTAATCAACAAGACTCAGAGAACTGCAACAAAAGCAGCAAGAAATTAGGGAAACAGAAAAGTCGGAATACTTTGCCAAAAGTATAAAATATGCCTCGAAATTGAATAAGTCCCAATATCTTCACCGTTCGGTTCCAAAGCCTCAATACCTATCCCATCAACTCCATCTTCTCCCTCTTATCTCTGAACCGGCCTGAGCCGCACCCATAACGGCACCTTTTCCCACAACCCAAAAACTTTCTGTCTCTCTGTCCAGCCACCACTCCTCTCTTTATTGAGTTCCATATCAAAATTCCAGCACACCTTCGCCAAAATCAACCGCATTTCCGCATACGCCAAGTTCCGCCCAATGCAGTTCCGCGGGCCGAGAGCAAAGGATTGAGGTGCGGAGCGGTCGTCGTTGGCGAATTCTGGAGGGGGGGAGGGGACCCAGCGTTCGGGGATGAACTCTTCGGGGCGGGTGAAGTAGGGGGGGAGGCGGGTTATGACGTAGCGGAGGACGCCGAGTGAGGTCTAGGGGTTTGGTTAATGATGTTTTTTTTTTCAATAACTAGGTGGAGTATATGTTTTCTTACACCTCCAGGAACCCATCTCCCACATACTATAGCCCCAGGGGCCGGAACCACACGATTCCCCTGGTGCGGCACCGGCGGATACACCCGCATAGCTTCATCCAGTACGGCCAGCATATACGTCAGCTTGTTAACGCTGAGCAAGTTAATCTCCTCCTCCGACTTAAATGCGCCGCGGACTTCTTCATTCAGCTTGCGGTAAACTTCAGGATGCGTGAGTAGGAGATAAGTCGTTCCGCTCAACAAGGTTGCCGTTGTCTCGCTCCCTGCAAGCACCAAAACACTCGCATTGCTCACCATCTCCTCCCGCGTCATTCCAGTCCCCTTCTCAAAGTCGCTCTTCTTAATCACAGTGTCCCAGAAATCGCCTCGGCCGGTTCCTTGCTTGATGCGCTGCTCGATTTTGTCGGTTGTGCGGCGATAGTTGGACTCCCGCGCTTCAATTACCGACTTAGGGATGAAAAAGGAGATCCATTTGGCTAGCCCATAGCGACGAATGCTGCCGATGACCATCTGTGCTTTGATGTTGTTGAAGATGAAGGAGATCCATGGGTCGGTTTCTTGTCTCTCTAAGCAATGGAATGATTCTCCAAATGCAAGATCACCGGTGAGATCGAACGTCGTCCAATTGTACCACTCCAAGATATTCTGATCCCCCTCCCCGCACCGCTCATGTAGTCCCTGAACAAGCAAATCCACGTAACGTTGAATCCTCGGCTGCATCTCCCTCAACCCCTTTTCTGAAAACGAATGCGATAAAAAGCGGCGGTACCGGCCATGGTCAGCCTGTTCCGCCGCAAGAATGGAGTGAATGCCGTTCGGGGGCTTCTGGTAGATCATGTGATCTTTGCCAAATTCAGAGAAACCTTCGGTTGCGGGGTTGTGGTGACTGTAGATGGGCTTCCACGCTGCCGGATCTGCATAGGAGAGCTCACATGGAGCGACGCGGACAACGGGACCGTATTTTTTATGCAATTCAAGGGCGTCCAAGTGGTATCGACCACTGAGGACGCTCCGCACCCATGGAAACCGATACGCGGCCCACAGTTTTGGACCTGGATAGGCGCGAAGGGGATGGAGAAAGATATTGTACGCTCCGTACAAGAGTATCTAAGAGGATAAGCTTCAAACCTGGGCAATAAAGAGTTTGTCTATGTATTATATCATACCGATGTCACACAAGCGGCGGCGATGAGTGCCAGTCCGCTGACGTAGGTAGGAAACTGTCCAAGGGAGAAACTGAGGTCGGTCATGTTTCCAGAGAAACTGCGAAGTGTAGAAGTAAAAAGTTGACCTAAGCCCGACTATTTGTTCTCCATGGGCGTATATATATTGCAACGTTCGGGAAGCTCGGAGACTGCATACAAAGCCACGAATCAGGATCAATGCTCTGGAAGGGTTGGTCGGGTTGTTGACAACTATATTAAAGAGGCACCGTATACGTTGTGGAGGTATTGGTAACGCTTGATCATGCTCAGGAGGAGTGCTGACATTGCTGATGGTTGCATATCTTGGGTTGGGTGATTTTCACAGATGTGTTATTGGCTGCGTAAGAGAGGCGAGCGAAGTGGCGGTCAGCAGACATATTGCTGCGATTTGTATTGGGTCTTACCAGAACAATAGAAGGGGGCGCGAGGTCTTCATGATAGGCGCGACACCTTCACGATAGGCGCTTGTTTTACGTGGAACACAATAAGCGGCCGGCGATATTTGCGAAAGGAGAGGTGGTATGCTGTCGAATCCTAGACGACACAAACCGTAATGCTGACCCTATGTAGCTCTCTCAAGCAGCAGTAGCTAAAGTTGTAGGCTCTGAGCAACATCTATCACAATAAACCATGCCTATGCTCGTCAATTGCTCGTCGTCACTTGCTCCTGGCCTCTCTGTATTTTCAAAAGTTACTATTCGACGGCATGTGGAGGGCAAGCACCGAAACAACAAAGATAGTCGCTTTCATGTTGACGTCGAAGACTGGGCTCCTGAGGCTTTTTGGATTCTAATGAACATCTTCCATGGGCGTAACAGCCCGGTTCCGCGTTTCCCCAAAGTCGAGATATTGATCAAGTTCGCCGTACTAGTTTATTACGACGAATTTCTGGTCGTAGATGAGGTTATATCAGGCCCCAATGCTCTTGAACAAATATCGCCATCCAGCTTCTATATTTTTCCATCCAATGGCTAGCAGATGCTTTGAATGTGTCTACATCATGCCGTGTGTGTTGAAAAGAGATACAAGGTGGGAGTTTCCTCTCTCTGTGTACAGACATGCCCTCGATTGGATTCAGTATACCAGACGCCTTAGAAACCGTCATATCCATACAGGCGCCAAAGTAATGGGACAGCTACTACGGAGAGTCTGAGAATAACGAGTGTAACTTCAGTTTTATAATGCACAAATACATTGGGGAGCTGAAATTATGATTACTGTACTAGAGAGACCTCTAGAAAATGTTGTCGAGAAATTAAAAGGTGGGAATGGCGGATGAGGGACTTTCGGATCACGGAGTAGTTCATATGCGCTCTCAAGTTTTAATTGAGGGCTATATGTGTGATCAGTCCAGCAGATAGCACAAGTATAAGTATTTTCCGGCTTATACTTGTTATATAACGTTACCGGTAACATGTTTCACAACCGACCCGGCCACCCCCTCAAGATTACACATCTTACATATGGATAGCTCATCACTACAATAAGTTATTCCGTTATACATGAACATTATATATTATTCAGAACCTTTGTTATCTTCTACATTTGTGGATTCTGCCTCGCAGATACGAGAATTATGTCCAGTCTTGCCGCAACGCCTGCAGCGCCTCTCTGCGCGAGCCCTCTTCATAGGCTTCTCATCAACCCCCTACCCGCCAGCCTCATCAGGAGCAAGTAAATCGGCTATCTCGCTTATTTTTGATGTCTCTTCATTCTAAATATACCTCTTCTTATGGCTTTTTTCACTTTGTTGTTGCCTCAGCTGCCTGTCGATGACTAGCCATTTCCTTACGCATCAAAACACTATATATATAATACATTACTTCGCAGAGCCCTT